ATTTGATTCCTTCTAGCCATGTGATGGTGTCCTCGTCGAGTGTAAGTGTTTTTGTGCTAGCATTTGTAATTGTTTTTTTTGTTGTTGAAATGTTTGAATATTAATTCTTTTTTGGGGGTACCGGTGAGCAAATGTAATTTACTTGATTGATCGATAAAGTATTTCAATGCAGTTCAAATCAATTCAATCAAAATATGCCACGATAAAATTTCTATACACACCAATATTAAATTATCTCACAGAAACCTGCTCTGATTTTGAAAGCTCGATAATTTCCTTTACTCAGACCAGCTCACGAAAAAAGAAGAGGTTAATATCTATAAGCACTTGAATTGTCTTCGTCTATTGGCACGCTTCTCACGCAATGCTTAAAAAGCCTAGTATTGACCAGGATATTTATAGAATATGCTGCCAGTCTCCGGAGATGTGTGTTCCCAACACAATAAGATCAAAGGTTTCAAAGCCGATACTTATAATGCTTCGCTGATTTATATAAACGACATTGGCACGCGCGTGACCGTAATTTGCCAACCCACCTCTCAAAACACATCAGGAAAATTCTTAATGGCGCCGATCACAATACGTCGTCTCCGCTGTGCGTCGCATTAAGTATAGGTAATGCTGTGGAGATAATGCGGGAGTTCTTTCTTCTGGCCCGTCAGTATAGATAGACGCATACAATTGTAACATCTGCTGTTCTCTTGAGACACCCTAAAAAGGAGAATTTTAACACAATTGTGTTGAGAGAAACTCAAGCCATGGAGAATACTTCAGTGCCGAATTCCACCTCCATTTTTGAAAACACTGAGTCGGATTTAAGACTGTCTGACACGGTTGGAGACCTATTCCAGCTGATTGTGCAGAGCGTCATTTTCTTATTCGGCGTGCCCGGTAACTGCCTCATACTCCGTGTCTACTGGACAAAGACTCTAAAAACCAGTACCCATGTTCTGATCATGGCCTTAGCCTGGGCCGATCTGGCCGTCTGCTTGCTGGCTGTGAATCGTATTTATTATAAGGTTGCTTCCATGGCTGGTCATAAGGTCCCAGAGCTCACATATATTATCTTGGCTCTTCAGTCAATAGCCATCAGCACGTCGATTATGTTAACTGCTGTGATCGCAGCGGACCGCTACGACTGCATATGCCGGCCACAGCGCCGGTTCTTTACCCACAAACGCGGCAAGATAGCAGCTTGGGCAGCATTTGTATTCTCACTGGTCATCAATATTCCTGCCTTCTTCCCGAGAACCCCTGGATCCAGCGACCAGTCATTGCGTCTGTTGAGGTATGCATTCCGGGTCATTTGCTTCGTCGTGGCGCTTGTGATGATTGCCGTGTGTTACGGCAAAGTCTACATGACCATCAAGAAACACACCAAAGTCGGCGTCAAAAGTACCATTCCAGATTGCAGCGTCTCTCGATTAGCCGATGATTGCCCGACGAGGCTGCAGGATTCCGCAATCACAAAAGTCGACGCAAACATTCCGACCGTGGCGTCCGTGTCGACGTTAATCAATAAACCATGCTCGAGCAAGTCAGCTGATGGCAGCAGAATGGCACAAAGCAAAGGAGCAACAAGGCACGAAATCGACGCATTAAGCCTTGACGAAAGCGGGAAAAGATGGGTCAGTCACCCACAAGCGACTTTGACCAAACATGTACTTGTGTCGACGGATACAGAATCACGCAAACCCCAAGGTAATGCAGGACGCGCACCACCCAATGTAGATACAGCACTTTTACAGCGTAAGACAACCAGAATGCTCTTCATCACCAGCGTTGTGTTTCTCCTGACCTGGCTACCCTATTGGATCCGTGTTGCCGCTACGTTTGCTTCCTACTCCGACCCAGTGTTCCATATGATCCTCGGGCTGCTCTACGTAACTTTTTACGTCAACAATGCCGTGAACCCGCTGATCTACGGACTTGCCAACAGGCGATTCAGGAAAGACTGCAATAAAGTTTTCAGTAAGATTAAGCTCCGTTAGAATGACACTATGGCTAATGCGATTCGTTGTCTTCAAGCACTTGATGTCTTATTTGTAAGTGCTTTGACACAATTTTGACAAAAATATGAAATGAACAGAACTGACAGAGCATGAACACAAGAGGTATTAAACAAATTGTATAGACTCTTAACTTTATCACGACCTGGGTATTTATGGCTTCTTGGGGCCGGGGGAGGGGGCAGCACCTTGTTCCTTATCCTAATTTCGATATACGGCAGCCGATTTTCCTTAAATTTTGCCAGGAATGTTAGTTGGCCGCTAATCCAAAAAAATGACAACAAAAGGGCGCTTCTCCATGTTTTCGCAATGTTTTTTCCCGAGACAGTATATTTCATGTAAATTGTACATTTCATCCAAACACTTGCAAATTTGACACAAACTCTCTTCGTGTTAATACTCATCCAACTAAACAACGTTTGGCATCAAAAATCATAGATAGAAAGCTCTATATACGCTTGTGTTAGGAAAAATCACATGTTATTGATTGTGTTCCAAACGTTCGACCACATTCGGCACTTATGACGTAGTTATGATAGTCTTGTGAATGCTTTGCATTTATAACATATACCATATTGTGCATAAAGAGTGAATTGCCTTTTTTTCGCGCCAATTGCGGTCATATTGGCTTTCCAGCTTGCATTGTAATTGTTTAGGTGACCTCGAATTTTACTCTTAAGTTGATACTTGATATACGGGCAAAGAAAATTGTTTGGCTAAAAAACGTTGATTAAGGCCCAAAAAAAAATAAGTCTCCGGTTTCTGGTATGCGCGCGCGTCGCCGTAGCCATGCGCGTCGGCAAAATGAAAAAGTTTTTTTTCAATGAAAGATGATGTCTCAAAACCACCAAACTCACTGGTTTGACTGGAATCCTGCTGCTGCACAATTTTAACGTGTTTTTAGATGGGGTTATGATCGAGAATAAGCTTTATGTGGCCTCTCTGGACTCCCATATATTTGCACTAAGTTTAGTCGGGCACCATTTTGCAGTCATCCGCCGACATTTAAAGCCAAAAAAAAACAGGTAAAAAAAAAAAAGCCGCGTCGCCGCACCACTTTTTAGGCAAGCTCCATACCAGAAACCGAAGACTTTTTGGGGGGGGGCCTCAGCCCATTTTAACTGGATTTTAATATGGACCTGCGGACATCTCGTGATTTTTGAGAAGATTCTGGATGTGGTTGTTTACGATACCGTCACACGCTGAACGCGGAAGTGGCTGGCGGTTATAAGCGGAAATTCTCACACTACACTTATATAGCAAACAGTATTAATAATAAGTTGGCGTCGCGTCACTCTCGATTCCACCACCGACCGGAGAAAAGGAAACAGTTGCCGATGAAATTAAAAATCACAAAAAAATCTGCAACCGTCCTGGTGTCTTCTGTAATGTTTTCTCCCCAATGCTTCATCGTGGTGAAGATTGGTGGGATTCGAGGTGACATTACTAGCACAGTCCCGTAAAAAGTGGTCCGGCAGCCATTCTATACAAAACCCCAAGCACCGTGGGGTTTTGTGCACAAACCCTATCACTCGGCCGATCACACTAAATTGACTTCGGCAAAACCGCAAGCCTCATCATAAAGAATAAGTTAACCGGACCAACTTTTACGAGAGTGTGTTCCTAATGGAGGACTTTCCAGAAATAGCCCGTATAGTTTTGACAAGATTTGTTCATTGCCACCGTGCTTTTTCGTAACGGTTTAAGTTTGCTTCGGTCGGCTCTATTCGTTGACAGGCTGACCTTACTTTTTACACGGCACGGCACACCGCACCAGACAATATTACTCGCTTCACAATAAAAAAAGTCGCACTGTTATCCTTGCTTTATCGGGAGATTTTTCATAATTGGTAAACAGTTTCCGATATTTGCATGTTTTTGCTTACTTACTTTGTATCCGACTCAATATTTATGAACGTCCAAGTTCTTACTAGGGTAATGATTATGAAGATTTATCCTTAATAAATTTGAGTTGGAAGTTTTGACGGATAATATGAGTAAACTTCGGTGATATTTTGATGCAATTTCTTCCACTGATGCACTGTATCGATAAGAAAGTGTCGTTTTAAGTTTTAAACAGTAACAAGACACAGTTTGTTATTTACTTGCACCTTATGTTTAGTTGCCACTCTGAAATAGCTCACTGATATAACTTTTTAAAGATAAATTTAACTTCAACAAATCTTAGGTCTATTTACATGATGGCAACTTCGCACAACCTCACCGTCTTAAAGGCCTTACGAAATTCTTGTTCAGCCTCATAGCAAAAGGGGAAAAGAAAAGAAAATAACAAAGGAAAAAAAATCACAAGACTTATCATGATCCTTCCCGGCGCCTCCAATTCAATTAAAGAAGATAGGACAGACATCAGATGAGCGATGGCACCATATACCGCGCTTCAATTGTGCCCCCAAACAGTTCATGTACATATCCAGATTAAATTACCTCACAGAGACCTGCCCTGCTGTTGGTTTGGTACAAAACTCAATAATTTCCTCTAGTCAGACCAGCTCACGAAAAAATGTCAATGTCGATGAGCGGCTGAATTGTCTTCGTCTATTGCCACGTTTCTAGCTAAAGAGGCAATGATTAATATTCAAGGATGTCTCGGGGATGCATGTCTATAACAAATTAAGAGAAATGGTTACGAAGCCCCTACACACAAAGCATCACTGATACTAAACTAAGCTGCAGTCGCATGACTGTGATTGGCCAACCTCCCTTTACACGTTTGTTAAATTCGAATGATCACACGTAGTGACGTACACCATGCAACGCTTACTTATATAGGTAATGCTGCGCAGATGCTTTCTTCTGGTGAACTGATATATTAGAGTCTGACATATTACATTCGCTCTCCTGAGCCAACATACCAGGGAAAATTTTAACGTCACTTTGTCGACAGAAACTCCAGCCATGGAGAACTCTCCAGTGCCTAATTCTACATCGTTTTTTGAAAACACAAAATCAGATTCAGGCCCGTCTGATACGATGGGAGTTATATTCGAGCTGATTGTGCACAGTGTAGTTTTCCTATTCGGCGTGCCTGGTAACTGCATCATACTCCGTGTCTACTGGACAAAGACTCTAAAAACCAGTACCCATGTTCTGATCATGGCCTTAGCCTGGAATGATCTGTCCGTCTGTGCACTGGCTGTGCATCGTATTTATTATCAGGTTGTTTCCATGGCTGACTATGAGGTCCCGGAGTTCACATTTATTATCGGGGGTCTTGAGGATATAGCCATCTGTACGTCGGTTATGATGACTGCTGTGATCGCAGCGGACCGCTACGACTGCATATGCCGGCCACAGCGCCGGTTCTTCACCCACAAACGCGGCAAGATAGCAGCTTGGGCAGCATTCGTATTCTCACTGGTCATCAATATTCCTGCCTTCATACCCAGAACCCTAGGATCCAGCGACCAGTCCTTGGACCTTTGGGAGTTGGCATTCGAGGTCATTTACTTCGTCGTGGCGCTCGTGATGATCGCGCTGTGTTACTGCAAAGTCTACACCACCATCAAGAAACACACCAAAGTCGGCGTCAAAAGTACCACTCGAGATTGCAGCCGCGTCTCTCGATTAGGGGACAAATGCTCGACACGGCTTCAGGATTCCGTATTCACAAATGTCGAACCGAACGTTCCTACCATCACTTCCGTGTCGAGGTTGATCAGTAAACCATGCTCGAGCACGGCAGCTGATGCCAGTAGAATGGAACAAAGCAAGGGAGCACCGAGCCACGAAATCGACGAATTCGCCCTTGATGAAAGCGGGAAAAGATGGGCTAGTCAACCAGGAGCGACTTTGTCTGAACTTGTTCTTGTGCCAGAGGATACAGAATCTGGTCTTGAGATTAAGAACAGTAACCCTCGGAAAGCCCAAGATAATGCAGAGCGTGCACCACCAACGGCAGATGCAGCAGTTTTACAGTGTAAGACAACCAGGATGCTCTTCATCACCAGTGTTGTGTTTCTCCTGACCTGGCTACCCTACTGGATTTATGTTGCCGCTACGTTTGCTTCCTACTCTGACCCAATGTTTAATGCTATCATGGAACAGCTCTCCGTAACTTTTTACGTCAACAATGCAGTTAATCCGCTCATTTACGGACTTGCCAACAGGCGGTTCAGGAAAGACTGCAAGACAGTTCTTAGTAAGATGAGGCTCTGTTAAAATTACAAACTATATTGTAAGAGAACCTTTTAAATGATTTACACTCAAAGTTTAACTATTAACAAAGGTACTGTTAAAGCTTGTTATATTTTGGGTGATATAAATATATATCTGTTAAATTACAGTAGTCAGTCCTCAAATGGAACTTTTGTTAGTGAACTTATTAATAGTCTTTCTGCATACAATTCTGTTCCTATGATTTTATGGCCAATTCGAAATGACTCTGAGCTAATTTTTTTCACTGATCAATATTATTTTCAAAACGTATAGTAGATCGAAAAGTGTCCTCCTGTATTATAAAAGTGATCTTTGCTATTCTATTTCATTACGTGACTTTAAAAGGGTCACGATTCACAGTCAGTCCCTGACTCGGTGTGTGTACTTTGAAATGCTGCATGTGTTCGGAAGCAGATTACATGACCCCAATGACTTCAAGCCCAACCTCGTCCCCAGGGTGTCGAGCAGCACGCGCCCAGCACTACCTGCTCTCTCACCCTGGTATTGGATTATTTGCATGTGCAAGATATTTGAACACGTATGCAAATGAGGAATAGTCTGGTGCCTGCATATGCGTTACGTTAGCGTTTGTTTTGTATGAGGTGTCTGGGATAAAAACAGCATCAACTCGTCGCGCCGTGAGTTATGAAAACACGATTGTTTTCGAGGTTAAACTGTCACAATCTTATCCTGCCAAATTATGCAGTATTACATTTCATATTAATATGAACAAACTGGAAAGGAAAGGAGTATTTCTGAGAAAGCGTGGACGTTATATAATCACAATGGTCGTGAAAACACGTAATGCACGTTGGAAATAACAGCACCAAGTAGGCCTACACGATAAAAATCTATTACAGTATCGAATCAGGATAACGGAAGAAATGTTCCTATCCAGGTCTTACAATTTGAAACGAGGTTGGAAATAAAGTAAGCACCGGGGACGAGGTGGCTTCAAGCTCGAATATGAAGTTTAGTGATCTTTTGCTAAAATCAAAATGGTTAAAGTGGTCGGAAATTGCCTCAGATCGCAGCACAGTGCATCTGGCGCCCGATTTAGTCCCCCGGGGCCCTAAGTGGGCCTCCAACTTCAGGCCGTTAGGCTTCGCACTGGTTCTGATCAAGATACACAAGCATGTCGCCCCCACTTTTGAGAAGCGATTGACGCCCTTGGTGCCAACAGGCTTTTAGAGCTAGGACCTACACCAGTTTATCCTGGCTAGATTTGCACAGTGCTTTGTACTTTAATAGCATCACCATGACTTTGGTGCCGGTTCCTAGGGCGCAGTAGGGCTTACGGAACACTGGGGCTAATATACGCCAACGAAACACTTCATCCTTGCCTGTAGCACCTGAAGCTTACTAAGCTGAGATCGGAACATATATTGGCCCGCATTGGCAGGGGAGGGGAGTTTCCTTATTCACACGAGATCGAGAGCGAAGAAGAGGAACTGGACGTTTATAAAAACACGCATAAAATACGTTACGTAAATAGAGCGCAGTTATAATTGGCGCGCTGAAAAGGCCCTCTACAACGGAAAGGAAAAAACCCGTAAACAATAACCCTCTGTGCTAATTACGTCACGCAATGTTTACCGCAGTGCATTGTGGGATTGAGTGGGGGTCGCTGCACCGCGATCGCTACAGAAAACATGTAGTATTGTCGATGTACCCTAACGTGGCGCGGCCCCCAACGTGGCGCACTTTGATTTTTCGACTGTAGCGCCTACCTAGATGAAAAGTTTTAACTGAAATTTTTACAGAAAGTGAAATTTCATCAAGTTCTTAACACTCCTGTTCATAAATCCTGAGTTTATTTACTTGTAACAAATTTAGAAGAAAAAAATTATTTTGGCGTGATTTTCCGATATTATTTTCAAGTGCAAAGTGAACCCTTTGAAAATGCCCCGAAAAATAGGAAAATGATTTTCTGACAAACATCTGGCTGGGTATGTAAGTAGAGATAATAATTATTTATCAGAGTTTATCAAGTTTACAGAAATTCTTGAATGTTAATTTGGAATTTTCAGAGATTTATTCAAGTGCGCCACGTTAGAGAACACTCCGCCAATTTGTGCCCAATTTCCGGACGCCACCGTTTTTGAATTTCGGATTAAATTTTATGCAACTGAAATTGTTCACAGAGGTTAAATAGCAAGCATTAATAAGGTAAAAGTACTAGTATTTTACTGCATGAATTTGAGGTTTGTCAACAAAGAGGTTTGGCAACACTATACGAGGAAAGTCGGGTAAGCTTCGAAGTGCGCCACGTTAAGGAACACGACTATAATTATTATGTTTTTTGGGTCTGATTTTCTTTAATTTGCGGCACGAAAGCTATCGAAAATAACTCTCAAATGTGATAAAACCTCGTCTTAATTAATATAAACTACATTTCAGGTCGATGATTCTTTAAAAATGACGGAGAATTTAGGTATGCACAACGCTAGTCACGATGACCATATATCGCACGGTACGTACTACGCGTATACGGCGCGCGTGACTGTGTATGTTAAGCTGGTACCGAGTTGACTCGAAACCAACACAGTCGGTGCTAACTCGGTCCCAAGTCAACTCGGTCCCAGGTGCCAAACAAAATAGATGGAGAATATTTCTGCAATTTGATTCACAAAACGTGAAATGTCTTTTTTGTGTATGTTTTTTTCCCGTACTTTTTTTTTATGTACTTATTTAGTTTAATAATTGATTTCGAGGCTGGATACCGATTATATAGGCCTACCGCTCTTATTTGAAGCAGCGTGTTTCCCCGAATCTTCCTGCCGTAGCAAGTTGCTCGTTGCCCGCTGTACTAGCGCCACATACACAGTCACGCGCGCCGTATACGCGTAGTACCGTGCGATATATGACCATCGTGACTAGCGTTGTGCATACCTAAATTCTCCGTTATGTTTTAAGAATCATCGACCTGAAATATAGTTAAGATTAATTAAACGAGATTTTATCACATTTGAGGGTCATTTTCGATAGTTTTAGTGACGCGAATTTAAATAAATCAGACCCATAATACACAATACTACATGTTTTCTATAGCGATCACGGTGCGGTGACCCCGAATCAATCCCACAATGCACTGCGGTGAAAATTGCGTGACGTAATTAGTACAGAGGGTTATTGAAACCAGTTCAACGACCCGATCTTGAAAAAACAATGAATGGTTCTTAGGTTTTAAACTCGAACGTAACTGTAACTGGTGAAATGGCATACATATAGTGCCTAGTGGTTAAATTGCTGACCCGCGGGTGGAAAATCGGTGGTTCGAATTCCGCATGTGTCATTTTGGTTTTCAACACGCGCTGGTTTTATTTTAACCCTCTGATTCAATTTACGGTCCTATTATACAAACAGTACCTTAACTTAATCACTGCTGCTGGGACTGTCTGCAAAGTCCAGGTTGTGAATCTTCGTACAGGTTCAAGGCATGTGGTCCACTCGGAGGAACATATAGCTTAGGGTGCTGCCTTCTTCCCCCCTTAGCTCTTTGCTTTTACATAGTGCCTGGCCCTCTGGTTATTACGGATTGACAGGGAAGGAAGTGTGGACCGGGACCGCCGAGATTCCAGAAGAGTCCAATCTCTAGGGCTCATTGCGATGGCTTATCCGACCCCCGAATGCTTGGTCAGTACATAACTGATTGTTTTATCAATCACAGTTTTTTTTAAACACTTGCAAGGATTAATTCACGGAATATATTTTTACCTTTTTTTCAAGGAAAGAAACAAAACACGGTCTCCGCATGAAGCCTATAATACAATATTCAACAAGATCAGTGAAACAGTCAATTTGCGAAATCCAAAAGGAAACATAATTATAAAGAGGTCAGCGAATCTGCAAAAATGGTACCTGATCTTACGCGATTGCATCCACTTAGACCATTACAGTCTCACTCTGCCAACGTTATACAATTTTAAGCAGGAACTCTCTGTTATATCAGTAGCTCTTATTGCTCCAACAATGTTAAACCTGGTCCATCACCTTTAGCAGTTCCGTGAGATTTACAACCGGAAATAATTTTTGGAAAAATTACAGACCCGGATTATCAATAGGATAGAAGGCACTGTGCCCAGGGCCTACGAAAAATTTGGGGGGCTACGAACAAATTGGAAGGGAATGCTACTCAGGCAGAGATGGATCAAATCAATAACTTGGTACGACAGGCCGCAAGGGTGATCGGTGGTCGGTCAGGAATTAGTAGACTCGGAGTTGAATCTGACTCTTTCAGATAGAGAGGGCTCCCTTCAGTGTTTACGATGCTGTTTCAGAAAGTTCTCTCGCCACTTGGTGGAAGTAAAGAAGAAGAAACAAAGACCGAACCACATGAAAGACAAACAATTCAGAACTGAGTCAAAGCAGAATGCTTCATGTTCTTTATCGGCCAGCATTGATTTATTGATATTATTCGATTTCATTCGACGAGAGTCATCCATTACAGTCATGTGTGACAGGTACGAAAATTGACCCCCCCCCCCTTACTTTTTTTGTATTTCTTGTATATTTAGTTTCTTTAAGTAAGGGACTATTTCTTTAGCACATTATCCATTCACCCATAAACCATGCTCGAGCACAGTAGCTGATGTCAGTATAATGGCACAAAGCGAGGGAGCACCGAGCCACGAAATCGACGAATCGACTCTTGACGAAAGAGGGAAAATATGGGCTGGTCAACCTCAAGCGACTTTGACCAAACATGTAGTTGTGTCGTAGGATACAGAATGTCGCGTTGTGAACGGAACCAATGATACGCGACAACACCAAGGTAACGTTGGACGCGCACCACCAAAGGCAGATGCAGCAGTTTTACAGCGTAAGACAACCAGGATGCTCTTCATCACCAGCGTTGTGTTTCTCCTGACCTGGCTACCCTACTGGATTCTTCTTGCCGCTTCTCTTGCTTCACACTACAACCCAGCGTTTTATATTATTTTTAAGCATCTCACCGGTACGGTTTACGTCAACAACGCCATGAATTCCCTGATTTACGGACA